GAACCAGGTGTATGGCGGCTCAGAAACACCCCTAGCCATGCTGAGAGATGGATTCCCGGTGCTTCCCAACTTGGTGGCCCTTGCTGCCTATTGTCCATCACTTTACTGTGATTTTTACCAAGGAGAGAGGTGGAGAGAGTGGCGATGAGAAAAGGAAACTTGCCTGCAGGCCAGTAACATGTGTCCACGGCCTGCCGTCTCCTGCCAAGTGTTTTGGAATTTCAGCTTTATGCCTCTCCAGGGACCCATGAGGCTTTTTTAAGTCTGATGCTGTGAAAGATGATTTCCTGGGGACCATGGGACTTGCGTGCAGCAGCTCTGCAGGGCCTCTGAGAGTCTGGAGGCATGTGGGGTACCACAGCTGGGGAACCGATGAAGCAAGAGAAGAAGGGAGAAGGACACCCATGCAGCTAATAAATTAGGCCCAGAGTAGCCTCATGGCAGGGGCTTGGGGACAGAGACGAGTTGCTGGGCAGAAACTTCCCCAGGGTTCCCTGGGTTCAGAGGAAGCTGGACTCACCCCTTGTATCAGCTGTGCATTCTCTACCTGAGGACGCAGCACAGCACAGCCAGGCGCGGGTGTCTGCGAAGATAGGCCCCTCACAGAGGTGAGTGAGGAACGTATGTGAAGCTCTGCCTGACTTCAAGGACTACATGGAGGCTGTTCTTCGAGAGACGAAGAGGGAGGAGCCAGAGCAAGGCTTGCCTGTTGCTGGGCCTCAGAGCTAAGGGGCTGGGAGACGCTGTCCTAGGGGAGGCCAGCTCTCAGCCCTCACGAGTCCCGCAGTCCGCTCCCCTGGGTACAGCTATGGCCGAGGCTCTGGGAATGTGAAATCTTATAATAGGCAGACTCAAGAAAGCTCAGCCCGCTGCAGTTCCTCCTCCTACTCTTTGTCACTCCCTCCACCCTGGGAGACGAAGGGGCAATGCTAGGAGCTCTCAGCTCAGATCAAAGGGAGTGTGTGGGGCCCAGGAGCACCTCAGCGCATAAAGAAACTGCTCCTTCTAGTTGGCGGGGCAGTCTCCCTCAACTTCCTGAAAGGCGGCCTCAAAGCTTGCCTGCCTTGAGACAATGTCAAGCAGCAGGTGTGTGTGACAAAGAGTGATAGCAGATGCAGCCAGTCAGGGATGTGCGCTGCTCAGAGAGGAACTCAAAGAGCAGAGGGAAGGACAGCGCGATCAGATTGTGGCCCAGACGCCTTAGAAGGGACACTTTTAAAGGAAAACCACAGGGCCATAGCCGCATCTAGACCTTGGCATGGGCGATAAGACTTTAGAAGCCTCCACAAGCTGCGCTGGAGGGAGGGAGGCAGCTAGGCCAGAACCCCAGTGCCCCTTGGGGATGTGCAGTGTGAGCGCCTCCCACAGGCAAACTCCCAGGAGTTTCCCCATGCTGAGGGCAGGCCAATGTGGGCAGAGAGTGGAGGGAGTCCCAGTCAGAGATGAACTGCAAGCACTACCATCTCCGAGTCCAGGAGCAAGCAGGAAGCAGGCTCCACCAAGCAGCCTCGGACTTGCTCCCCAAGGACAGCAGACACTCCCCTGACTCGGAGGCCAGCGACTTGGTGTCTTGAGGGTGCTGCAACCTCCTGGAGACCTCTTGCTCAGCTGTGCCACCCAGAACCCACCCCAAAGACACTCAGGCTTTCTAGTAAGCACTGACTCACCTACACTCCAGGGTGTCATAATTTGTGCCAAATGAACGTACAGATGTGGATCTCACTTGTTTGACTGACCTTCCAAATGGAAGTGAGGACAAAACAAGGTACAGGCTCTGAAGATTTTCATCTATGCTCGCAGAATGGCACTAAGGACCAAAGGACAACAGATGGGGCTAACCTGAATCTTTCAGGGGATGAGCAAGACATATGCCACCTGAGCCTCAAGAGGCAAGGGCCCAAGCAGGCCCTTAAGAAGTGAAGGTGGCCAACTTCTAAATCAGGAGAGTCACCCACCACCCTCTTTGCACCTTTTGTGAAGGTCCTGGTAGATGGATGATGGTTGAAGGTTACAAAGGATCCTTGTCCCTTGCCCTTGAGGACCAGCCAAGGAGAGGTAAGGACCTGTATCCCTGAAGCCCGGTCTAGCATCCAAAGTACAAAATGCCACAGGCAGTGAAAGAAAGGTCATACCCAACATGGAGAAATTAGGAAGGCTTCATTCTTGGTATGGAAGGTGGGTGAATGACTAACAAAGTCCAATGAGCCATTTATTTGTTGACCTCGTCTCAAGGTCAAATCGTAAGCCTGAGATTCTATTTCATCTACCAAGCTGGGATTGATGTCTCCTTTCCCCTCTCAGTTCCTTGGAAAAACAAGTCTCAGTAAAAGCCACATACTATTATTATCCTCAGGAGTAAAGCCAAGAACAGAGTTCTGACATTCCCACCCTCAGCTCTGAGCCAAGCCCAGGCATGCACAGTGACCCGGTCCAGCCAAGTGCCAGGCCCAACCAGTCCTCAAAGCTCTGGTGGGAAAGCTTTTAATTGGATGCCACTAGCTTTGAATGGACCCTGAAAATATCCATCACTGCACAGCTGTCAGACTAGCTCACTGCAGAGCCTCACACTTGGCTTAAACAGAGGCCAGGCGAGGGATATTTGGAAGTTGCAACAAAACTAAGAGATAGCATTGCTGCTTCAAAGTTCTCATTTTCTTTTAAAGCCCAGACATACCCTGACTTCCTTTTTCCATGCCTTTTCAGATTGTGTAAGTCCAATTTCATCACTGCCACCCACACCTGGGTTGGCCATGGCTTCTGTACTGCCCACAGCTCCATGGACCAAGCTGCCTGTGTTCCAGACCTTCACGAACATGCTGGTTTCCCAAAAGCTCTGGACTCTCTGTGCAGTATCTAGATAGCAGGCTACACGCACAAAGCTTCATTAATGCTGCTTGGTTAAACACTATAACCTCCCAGCACTCTGGGAGGCAGGGACAATTCAAGCTCTGCCTTGAAAACTTAGCAAGACCCTATCTCAAGATAAAAAATATAAAGAAGTGGCAGTGGAGGTCAGTATAAAGGCCCTGAGTTCAAGTCCTAGTACCTCAAAACAAACCACACACACACACACACACACACACACACACACATATTACAACCACTCCTCTGTCTTCATCAGGCAGTGAAGAGCTCTTTCTGAGATCATCTTGTGACAAGTACGCTATGAAGTTTCAGTTAAGATCTTTCAGCCCTGGGCAGTGGCTCCTGCCCACCCAGGAGGGAGGGACAGATTTCCTGTGTGATCTGGGGCTGTATGACCCGGGCCTTCAGTCCAGCACCACAGTGGAAGACCTGAGGATCTGTTCTTCAGGCAGCACTGAGACACCTCAGGAGCCACATGTGACTTTATTCCACCCCCAACCCTGCCACTGGAGCCCCAAGTCAGCCTTCCTCTATCACCTGCACTAACCCACAGATCCAGAAGAATGGCCTCGAGAATTTAAAGGGCTAGAGAAACTGCCTCCAAATGCCTGCGACATGATTACAAGGATCGTAGAAAGCACCCCCAACACATGCTGGTGCGTGTGTATGGAAAGGTTCTGTGATGGAAATCTAAAACCCAGAACTGAAAGAAAATCTCACCTGCAACCAAGAAGAGATTCAGTCTGACTCAGAGGCTTGGAAACTAAGTCTCCAAAACACCAGGGCAAGTGGGCTAGGAAATTTCTGCTGGGAGACCCCCAACTGTCATCCCCAAACTCACTTCGGGGGAAGAGGGCATGAAACCAGCCCAAGAAAGAGCGTTCTCTCCTCTGCCAGCTCCCCTCTGCATGCTAGTGGAATCCTTATTTGCAGCCAGCAAGAAGGGCCTGACTGTATTGACACAAAACAAAGGGGCCTCCTTAAACCTCCCAAGCGTGTCTAAAGTTGGTTCTGAACCTTAGCTTTCATCTTGGTTCTCTTCAGTCACCCCACTGCACTCACCTTGACTTTCTGTTTGTTTCTTTCTTTATAAAGTAAATGTCCCCGGAGCAGCTCTACGGAACAGCCACCCAGAGGGAGTTTAGACTCCAACCAGAACCAACCTAAGATGCAGACACGTGATGCAAGGCTCTGGGGTTGGAGAGGCGCAAGTCCCCGACTCCGGCCGGCCCGTGTCCAGCTCTGTGCGGTGGGTGAGAAGTCCTACCTTGCAGCCCCGGCAAAGAGCAAGGAAGTGGATGTGTGTGTCATGCTTGGCCCACAGTATGTGTGCCCTTCCTGCCAGCCCCATGCATCTCCCCGGAGGCAGCCCTAAAGTCTTCCCTGACAAACACACTCTCCTCCCGCAAATCTAGCAGCCTAGGAACCCTACTTGACAGTCCAAGACCAGTTCACTTCCCTGGAGGTAAATGAAATCCTCAGTCACTGGCTGGGCATGCCAAGCCAGAAAGGGCACTGGAGTAAGCGTATAAAGGTGTCACTTTGGTCCCGTTTTGCGGTCCTTGTGCGTTCAGTATCCACCAGAGAGGGTGCTCTCTAAGCTCAACTCCGCAACAGTAACCCTGAGATAGCTTCCTCTTCAAGTCTAAATAGTCTGAACATCAACTCTGAATCAGCTTCTCATCATTAACCCAAGGAGGCAAGCAGTGTTTGACACGGGTACCTCCCTAGCCCCTTGCCTGTGTGCTGCCCCTCCCTCCCACCACATTCCTGCTGCCCAAAGACTAGCCAAGGCAGGGCAGTTCTGCTCTGAACTGACCACTCTGATCTCTTCCACTCTCGCTGCTGTGAGTGGGTGAGTTCATGAAACCAGAATGGCCCATTAATAACAATGGCTAATGTCTGCTGAACCTGTGTGTGTTCAAGATACTACCAATGCCTTACATTCATTCTTTTGTCACACTCAGTCTTCACCACAATCCTATGAGGGGAGGCCTATAGTTGCCTCATTTTACAGAAGAAGAAACGGAAGCTTCCTGGCATTAGGGGACATTCTCCAGGTTCTGCCGCTCTTACAGGTGGCCGTAAGATGCAAAACCAAGTCTGCCTCCAGCCCCAGCAAGTACGCAACTCACCTGATAGGAAAGGCCGTCCTTCCGGGGGTTGAGGCCAATCTCCTCCATGGATGGGGTGTTCATCATCACCTCAGTCATCTTGGCTGATCTCAGATAGTCAGGGCTGCCAAGAAATCAACAGGCGCACATCCTTACACTCTCCTCCTCTCAGTGGCTTTGCAGCTGTGAGAGCAGGGGAAGTCTGGGGACAGGATGCCAGGGGCTCTAAGCAGAGCTCATAGCCACATCTGCTCCCACCCTGAGGAAACACCCTCAAGGCACATATCATGGGTTCCCACCTCAGCCCCCCAACTGGGCACACTGTCTACAACCCAGCTCTGCCCCTACTCCTGTACACTACAACCCCTTGGGCACAGGGCAACCTTGTATTTTCTTTTAAAGGCCAGAACTAGGGGAAAAAATGATAGTGGGTAGCTGAATCCATGTGTCTATATTAAAACCAATTCAGCCAGGTCTCCTTTTCACCTCTCCACCTAAGAATACAAGTAATCCTCCCATGAATTTCCAAAGAGGAACTGCATATTATTATTACATAATAAGAATTACAGGCAAAGCCTCAGGGAGACAAAGTCCAAATCCTGCTGCCCTCCTAAAGGTCTGTCTGTCTGCTGCTCCTTTTGGCAAAATGTCCCACTTAAAGCCCCAAGGGTTCAGCTTTTCTGCAAGCTTCACATCTGCCATCCAACCCCCTTCCCTAGCCCCAGCCGCAGCAGCTGCGAGCTCACAGCTTGAAAAACATCCCGTGGATTAAAGCCTTAAGGATACCCGGACACTGATTGCAAAGGAAATTTCCAGAGGGGCCAAGCTGGCCCACCAATGGCTGACATGTGAAAGTGCTTTGTACTCTCTAAGCAGGACACAAACGTTCCATTATCCTTGCACAAGCCATCGGCACAGGGTCCTGGTATGCCAAATACACATACCAAATCCAGGTACTAACTACATAACACCCAGTATTTTCACATTGTGTTTGTGCTTGTAGTTCAAAAAAAAAAAAAAAAAAGGAAGAACGAAAGTAAAGCAGGCTTGAAAGACAGTATCTAAGGCAACAAGAATACTAAAAGCCTCTTCATTTTTTGATTCCTACAGAGTAGAAATGGCACTACATTTGGATACAGAAGCAGTAGGTTCTGCTCCAGGCTGTACCACTCAAGAACTGCGTGGTCTTAAACAAGTCATGTACCCTCTCTGAGCCACAGGTGCCCTATTTGTCACTAAGATGGTAATAATGCACCTTTCACAGTTATGTGAAGGGCTCATGGCTGGGAAAAGTGTTGCCAACTATGAAATTCTGATCAATAAAATAATGCTAAATCTTACTTTCTCAGGGGCTAATACCCTTCAGGGACTCTAACATCTACCTTGCTAATTTTTAAGGGCCAAGGCTCAAAGCTTCCAGGAGTCTTCAAAGCCTCAGCCTTAAGGCACCTTTGCTGCCCCACATCACGGAGAGAGGGATGGAGACGCTCAGGAAAGAAACATAGACGAGCCTCTGCGGTGGGGGGAATTTTTACTTTGCTTTGAGAGTTCAGAGCCAGGCTGGGATGCAAGACCCCAGACTAAGGAAGAAGATGCTGGGCTTGGGGTCAAGTTTAGGATCAGAACCTGAGACCTTCAGGGCAGTTCCTTCCGGAGCGGCCGACCCTAAAGAAGGGGACTAGAGGAACACACAGAACGCTCTCCAAGCTCTGCTCCTCGTGGAGGGGCGTGTGTCCTCTCTCGGGGCTGTGGCGCGGGTCCAAAAAGTTGAAAGTTGAAAAGCACGAACTTTCCGGTTCCCAGGTTAGGAAACACCGCACCCGGCTGAAGCACTGCTTTCCCTGGCTGGGCGCCTCCTGGGATCTGGGACCGGGCTCCACATCGCCGCACCTGAGAGCGCGCTCGGGCCGCTCCTCCTCTACCCCCGCGCAGGAAGGAAGAAACAGCCGGCGCGCACGTCCCAGCAGACAGGGGCCTCTCCCTGCATCCTTCCCGGATAGGGGCAAACCTCTGCCTCCTCCACCCGGGACCCGGCTCCCTGCACCTCCGCACGGAGAAGGCTGCTCCTCCCCAGCCCTGGAGCCCACAAAGGCGCGTCTCCATTAGGGGCTATGGAGAGAGCAGGGGTCGAGAGTTTGAAGCGTGTGCCCTGCTGCTTGTGGGCTACGTGTGGGGAGAGTGCTCCTTCCTCTCACGTCCCAGAGCTCTGCAAAAGCCCCGACTGCACCAGCTCGCGTTCCCCCTCCGCCCCAGCAGCCGGCCTCGACGCCAGACTAGCATGCAAACAAAAAGAAAAAGGGGAGGGGTTCCAGTAGAGTCAGAGCCCCCACCGTCAGGCAGGGCATGCGCCTCCTGCAGCCCTCCGCATTCAGGGTTTCACCAGGGGCGTTCAGGCGGGACCCCCGGCTCTCCCCACCCACCGCCACCACACACACACCCTCCAGGCGTCCCTTCAGTGGACGTTCGGAGTTCACTTCCTTTGTCTGGATGCGCTCAGCACCACTTCCCCCCACCCCCACCTTTGCAACCTTGACGTTGACTCCTGCAGGGGCTCTGGCGGCGGGGCAGCCCGCGCCTTCAGATGCCTGGCGCCCAGAGCCTGCAGGAGCCCACTGGAGCCCCGCAGCCCCGGCCGCTAGACGGGCGCCGCCGCGGGCTCAGGATACTCACCAGTGAATGGGGAAATATACAGACATGAAGTCCTAGGGGAGGCTGACCCACGCCCTTGTGATTTAGAAACGGTCACTGCGTCCCGAGTGAAGATGGCACGGGCGCGGAGCGTGGGTAAGGGGCGTTCGCGGGTCCGCCTTCGCGAGACGGCCCCGCGGCCAGAGGCGTCGGATCGCAGACGGCGCGCCCCACTCTCCGCCGAGCTCGCGGTCCCACAAAGAGCCGGGGAAGCCGTATTTATAGGGGCGGGGGCGGGGCTTGGCCCCAGGAGGCCCCGCCCTCTCTCACCCACTCCTGGAATAACGTCACCAAAATCATGAATGGCCCCGGCGCTCGCAGCTCCCGCAGGCGGTGGCTCGGGGGCGCGCTCGGCTCTGCGCCCGGAGCACCGTGGTTTGCTGCAGCTCAGGGCCGGCCCCCTCCCCACGATTCACACACACACGCACACGCGCGCGCACCCGGGCTGGAGTTCAGTGTCAGGGCCGCTTCCTGCTCACAAAAGCGTTGGCTTCCGCAGCCCCCTCCCTGCGCACACCCGGGGAGTCCAAGGCGGCGGCGGTGGGCGTGAGGAGGGCGACGGGCCCACGCAGGACGTGACCACCCGGCGTCCGTACTGCGCCGGGGGAGGGCGCACTTCCTCTGCTCCGGCCACTCGGCGCCGCCCCCTGCCAGGCACCGGCTCGCGGTCCCCAGCCCGCACCTCTAGACCCCTCTGCTGTGGTCATCACTCAAATTAATTAGGCCTCTCCCTCGGAATCGTCGCCCGTGGCACCTCGATTGTCATTTCCATCCTGGGCTAACTGCGCGCAAGCCAGAAGGAAGGCTGCAGAGAGAGGGAGCTGGGGGACCCACTGCCCGTGGGGACCAGTTGGTTTACAATGGACTCCTCTGCTGCCCTGAGATCTGTTTTGCTTGTGGGAGAAAGGATGTGGTGTCTACTGGGGTTTTTTCCGTTCGAGACACACACACACACACACACACACACACACACACACACGGTCCCGCGGTGGATGTAGGGGGTGCAGTGGGCGGCGCACAGGCACACTCCACTAGCTTGGGATCTGTCCAGGGAGTCGTTCTGTGACAGCAGAAACAAAAGGCTTCAGACGAGCGCGCTGGAAATGACTAAAAAATTGCAGCTCCAGAGTCTGTCCGGGCAGCCAAGCTGCACAGCCCTCAGACCCGGGACCATGGGAATCTGACCAGGCACCCAGCGCTGCCCTTCTATGGCCGCTGCTCCAATTACCCGCACACAATAGCCTTATAGCCTTGACCTTTGTGTGTAGGAGGGCTGGGGAAAGGAGAGGGGTGGTCTTACAAACTAGGTGAAGTTAAATCATTCTCAGTAAGTCAGCTCTGCAGGAAGGGCAATGAATGTATTGAATCTGTGCATATATGTATAAAACAGAACTACAGAGCTTCTCTCAGGGAAAAGGATAATGGGATAAAAAGTAATGGTTTCACAGGCAGGACCCTAAGTAGGCCGGGAGAAAGAGCCCTCATAATGTTCACCACCTTTCCAGACCAGCTCCAATAGAGAGAATCACTAAGAATAAATTAAAAGAACATTGCTATTTCCCATCGTTCTTATGTACAACCTGAGTTAGAAGCGCTTCCTAATAAAACATGGCTTCATGATAAGCTGTCCCTGCAAACAAAAAAAATTCAGTAGCCTTCCCTGCCGCTCAAGTCAAACCAGTAATCCACTGGTGTTGCAAAGTACCAGATGCATTCTGCTCCTCTAGAGGGGTGTCCTGAGGGAGGGCAGTATTTTTATGTACAGATACTAACTGGAAACCCTCCAGGAGTGGGGTACCTGTGAGCAGAGGGGCCGTTCGTGCCCGTTCGTGCCCGTTGCAGAGGGTGGGAAGTCCCAGTGTGGTTGTCTGGGTGTGACATGTTGGCATCAGGGGAGCGAAAGCCGAAGCTAGTGCCTGGAGAGCTGATTTCTAGGCTGGGACTTGCCATGCCCTGGGACCAGCAAGACAGAAGCTTTCTGCCCTCTCCCAAGCAGCAATCCCTGGCAAGGCTGGGTAGGATAAAATGCTGTCATGGCATACTGACATACAACACACAGACTTTACATATGTGTGATGACTGCCTGGTGAAACTTTGGAAACTTAGGAACCTATCCTCCCCAACACACTCCAGGCATTAAATCAAATCTTTGGGACAAGACGATGGCAAGTACAGCAGCAGTGAACTGGCCTCTGGGAGATTTCCTGCTTTGGAGGACACAGGTAATTACCTGATGCCTACTCTTTGGAAAACTTTGTATAAACGCCTGTCTTAGCTAGATTTCAACTGTGAGTCAATTAGAGTAGAAAATAAACCTGGGGTTGTAACCCCCAAATCTCTGCTTTCTTCCTTTCCTCTAATACCTTAGTGACCAGTTCATTCATTTGGAAAATGGCAGGCCGAACTGAAGCAAGCATATGATTTCTCACTAACACTTGACGTAGTGCCCTGCAGTTTTTCAAAGCATTGTCATTACCTCAGCTTTCAAAAGAATGTGGTAAGATTAACTTAGCTTAGCTTAGAGTCCTCAGTTTACAGATGTGCCAACTGAGGCTGAAAGGAGATGCACGAAAGATACTCAGCTACAAAGAGCCAGGGTGGGCCTGGAACTCACAGGTTGTTCACACACGGAGTATCCCACTTTGTTAGGTTGCTCTATGTCACTGTCTTTCTATCATTTCTCTAAAGACCTAATGTATTTAAGCATGAAAATGTTTCTTCCCAATGCCCAGTGAGACAGGTCTCAACACCTTCTGCCCTTGAATAAATGAAGGAACAGTCACAAAATCGAATGTGGTTACTTAGAGCCCCATAACCTTAGCGCTGAAAGAGACCTTCCAAACCACCCAGTCCAGTCTCCTCATTTTACAGGTGAGAAGACACTTAAGAGATTGAATGGCTTGTCTGAGGTCACCAGGCTATTAAGTGATATAGGTGGAACCTGGGCCTTCAGACCACTGGTCAAATGTTCTTTCCACTATAACACTATAGTGTGCACTGCATTAGCAAAGAAGTCGGCAGCAGAGATCAAACACAAGATCTGAACTCTAAACCGCCTCACCCCATCACCAACATTTATTGAGAACTGTCTACAAACACAGATCGGGAACTGAATACTCAGCCAGAGACCTCTGCCGTACCTCCCTTCTCCCATCTCTGTACTAAGGAACCAGAGAGTTGAATCATAATTCAGCTTCAATAAAAATTTAGTTGTAGTCAGAAATGTCCTGCTTTCCAACTTTGCATAAGTTTGGTTTTCTCGCTCTCTCTTTGTCTTGCCTAAAACAACATTGTTTAAAGAATAAATGTAATGAATTTAAGATCTCATTAGATTTACCTCAGTTGGAACTGAGCTATATATAGCTCTTTATTCATCTAGTTAAAAAGGAAGTCTCCACCTAATTTCATTTAGCATCATATACCCACCTTGTAACTCTCTTTGGCTTGCAAAAAGACAGTATTGTACTACATTTGCCTAGTAGCAGAGAAATTGGTAGCAGAGAACTTGAGTACCAGTTTTGGGTTAGTTACAAGGGACTTCACAGAGTAGCTGTTTGAGCTTGGGAAGGGAAATGCAGGAAGGCAAAGGATAACATTTGAGGCTATTTGCTACCACGTTTATGCCTCACAAGGACCTCAGACATATGCACTATTGCTCCACTTTACAGATGGAGAAATCCAAGTTCTAAAGGGTAAGTAACTTTGACCACATGGCTCTCAAATGGTTAAACCAAAATTTGATTCTGGGGCTTGCCAGTTCCAAAGCCTGTTTTCCCTAGAATACCACAGTTAAGGTCTCTGTGGCTTTGTTTGTTTTATCAGCTAAACTATGAGCTGAATATAGAAGTGTGAGTTCCAATAGCAAAGGCCAGCACTCCTGGTATCTATCCAGTAAGGGAAGGGCAGGCAGAATAAACAAGTTTCCCACCCTGGGAATCTAGGAGCTTCTTAAACATATCAATCAAAGGGTTAGGGTTTAAAGAAAAAGGGTAGGTGGGAGGAGTTTCTGACCAGTTTTGCAGTACAACTCATTTGAGCACATAAAAAATCTGAACAGCAAGGATGTGTGTGGGTTGATGTGAGGATGAAATGAAATAATGTTGTGAAAACAGTTGGCAAATTAGAGAGCACCCAGCAGATGTAGGGCTTGGTTTTGGGGTGTTTGGGGGAAAGGGGAGTGCAGCAGAGTTAATTCATCCGCCTCAGGCTTTTATTCCTTTCAGTCACAGACTGTCTCATTCCCCACCCCCACGCGCCAGTCCCTCAGTTGGTGTTTCTGGCTTGTAGGGGCCAGACGTCAGAGGCCAGCAGTGACGCCCTGTCTAGTGGCCACTGCTGTGTTCCCTGTCCCCAGCATCTCCACTCCCACCTCCACCAGCACCTCCCAGGAGTGGCTTGTGACGGAACCAGGCCTGAGTCTGAGCACACCTTCCCATCTCAGCCCTCAGAAGTCAGGAGTCAACAACACAAAGCAACGCAAACTCACAGACAGAGTCCTGCAGCCTTTGACTTACTTTGCTCTTCGTCCTCAGGCCAGATACTTGACCTCTCCGTGACTCCTAGAGCAATCAAGGCAGTGGATGGAGGTCTCCTTTTCTCCTGTCAGGGTACTGATAAGGCTGAGAGACATTGCTTCTATAAATGCTCTGGAGAAAAGCGCTTAGCATCAGGATTCTGCAGCCCAAGACAAAGGCTGTGGGTGCTCCTGCCAAGTGTCACCTCAGGAGGTGCCTCCTGCTTTCCACCCAGAACCCTCTTAACCCCAAAGCAGTCTAGAATCTGGCTGCCCATCAACTCTTGCCTTCCCAAACATGAAAAGACTCAGCCCTGGCTTTTTCTTTATTTCTATCAAGGGGCTTTTGAACCAAGTGGATTTTTTTTTTTTTTTAAGAGAAAGAAAACTCTATGGAATCTTTAGGGTCCAGGCCCTAAAAGAAAACACTCCAACTGGAAGCAGTTCAAGGTTCTCTTGTCCAATTAAGGAAGTGCTCACATTCCTGCGCTAGCTCTGGCTCTATCTTGCTTTCTCTCTTTCCACATCCACACAGGAATGCACTTCCACAGCCAGAAAAGAGAGCTTACTATCACCAGGACGCGGATCGAATAGCAGAGCGGGGCGGGCTGAGACAGTCCCCAAATTAAACAAAGAGCACGGGCCACAGAACAATGCAGATTTCTTCATTCCACCCAGCCCCCACACTTCTCTC